CATTGTACAGTGGCATAATATGCACCTATGCCTACCTCTTAGTCGCGGAGAACCTAACGGGTAACCGGGGCTCCGGCTCGACGTGCAGGAGAAGGAACGGGGTGGTTTTTAGTCAGTAAGAGTCTGACACTCCTTCCCGCCTCGCCCAGGCGGGAGCAGTCATTCGATGATTTTCCCCCCTTAAAAAAAAAATGCCTACCTCTTCGGGGATAAAAGGCGTGATGTTATGTTTAAAAAAATCTAATGGAAAAACACACATGAAACACTAGTCGTATATTTGTAGACACTATTCAAATCGCACGTGCCGCCCGACGAGAAATACCTCTTCGACAATTACATGACGTGATGTTTTGATAATGTACTATGAGTTCGTATGCGATTTCGAAGCATGACTGGTTCACTAGTTATTTTTAGTTTTAAACATTTTATTTCTTTGTAAAACTATCGTGTTACCGAGACAGAACCATTTTACTTTGGGACGAAAACGAAATAGATTTCACGGTGTATTGTTACAGTTATGGCTAAATACATCACATGTGATTAAAGTGCACATAATTGTATTGTGTTTTAAATTATAGTCGTCAAATTCTGACCTTTGAGCAAACAGTGATTAATGCTCAAACCTTCACCGTGTGGGAACAGGCCTGTGGTCAGCACATATTGAATATTGATGATATCTGGTCTTCAATAACATAGACTTAAATAAAATTTCTTAATAAACTAAAAATCGCGGGTTATTCTCGTGTATATACTGAGAAAAGCTCTACTCAGTAGGCTGCGCGACATCGCTGCGACCGTGCACGCTGCTCATGAGAAAGAACCCCTCTGTGGTTCGAAACTAGTAGAGCTTTTCTCAGTATATTCACGTGAGTAACCCGCGATATTTAGTTAATTTAGTATGTCTCACGATAGTTATTACAAAAAGATTCTTAACATTAATTAATCAAAGTCATATTGCTAGCGAAGTGCTAATTGATTATATTATTAATTGGTTTCCAAAGTTATACTTTTTTATATTTAATGGCATGCTTTTTTGTATCAATATTTTTTATTTAGATCTATTTATTTATAATTTAGTTTAACAACTAAAATTATTTAGTAGTATGGCTTTGTACATGTCTTTATTTTTAATTGTAAATAATTATAGATTAAAATTAAATTGTTTTTAGATATTAACTGTTAATTTAAATAATCTTGATTAGTGATTAATCAATCGAATAATGCGAGTAAAACACAAATAATAAAAAGTAGTTACATTTCTGTGAACCCCTTATAATGAATAATGGACGTGATGTTATGATATAGGAACTTGTTGTATATTAAACTAATTTAAATTATTATTTATTGTGGGTTCGATTCCTGCATAGAATTATACTAGTAATAGTTGGGCTAAGTTTAAAAATACATATTTTTTCGTTTGTATATCCTGGCAAGTACCAATGTGACCTGTCCGAGTTATATTTACTGTCTAAGAATATTTAGACACCACTGATAAACGGTGAAGGAAAACATCGTGAGGAAACCTCGTGGTGATTAATGTTCAAACATTCTCCGTGTGAGAAGAGGTCTTTGCTTAGCACTGATCATGATGTCTAACACTCCTGATCATGTACAGGTCAAACCTCGAAGCCTTCGACTCCTCAGAATGGCTCCAACTCCAAGTCTCCTGGAAACTTCGTGAGACCAGCTCCTAGGTATACCAATAAATCCAATATGACCAGAAGTTCCAGTGTTGGTGTGCTGAATCAGGTGAGAATGTGTATAATTAATTTTTATTTTTTACTAGCGACCCGCCCCGGCTTCGCACGGGTGCAATATGCATGTATTATACGTATAAACCTTCCTTAAGAATCACTCTATCTAGAAAAAAACTACATCAAAATCCGTTGGGTAGTTTTAAAGATCCAAGCATACATAGGGACAGACAGACGGCGGATAGCGACTTTGTTTTATACTACATATGTAGTGATTTAGGTTCTGTTCTATAGCTATCAATTAGGTACCTTATTATAACTCAAAATCTTGACTCCACAGAGCGACTCGGAATCCGACCCCCAACCCTCACGGCAGCAACCGAACAGGTCACAAGGTCTCATGAGGCCAACGATATCTTCATTAAACAAGGTCGCAGCCAACACGGCCCGGAGACGTGGCCTCGCCAACGCTTACAGTGCAGGTAACGAGCTCAAGTTATATTGGTCGAGTAGTTTAAAGTAATACGTAGTTAGAAGCACTTTGTACTAAAGTCACTTTACTGAGGAATTTCTATTGACTGTGTATAGATAATTTTCCATTGTGCCCAAAAATACATACATAACTTCACGCCTGTCTCCCATGGAGGTAGGCAGAGACTATGGAGCGCCAATTGCGACGATTCCTACATAGGTACCTCTTACGCTTCATTAATACTGAGTAAATAATAACTTAAATTGGGATGACGACAGGGTATGAAAATTAAAAATCTAATTAGTCCGTAAGTTAGGTATTTAAAAAATATTAGACACGTATTTTTTTATTTTGTCGTATAATAAAACAATACTTAGATAAAACGAATCAAAGTTTAGGAGTGGGGGCTAAAACGTCATTTCTACGTATAAAATGCACATAAAAGTGACGTCACGCGACATTTCAAATCAATATATCGTGGCAAGTATTCGTTTCTGTAAAAAAATAAAAATACGTGTGTAATGATTTAAAATAATCTACCAGACGGACATTAAAGTAAAAATTAGTCATCTACTCTATTGTATCCCTTATATTTTAAACTCCCTTACCACTTAGTACTACTGTGTTTTAAAAAAATCTCAGTAGTAGCACGGAGTCTGGAATTGTGCCCGGTATATGGCAGTCGACTCACCTCCTATTACACGGGACTCATAACATAAATAGTGAAAAGTGGGTGTTACATTGTACAGTGGCATTGAATGCCGTAATGTGCACCTCTGCCGGTAGGCACCTACGTAGGGGTACCTACGTGGATAAAAGGCGTGATGTTATGTTATGTTAAAGATTAAACCAAGAGAGCGCCCTAGGGAAGCACCTCATTGGCGCCCCTAATTTCTTCTGGCGCCGCTGCCGCACTATGTGCAGTTGGGTCCACGCGTCCCGCGGCGCCCTCTGTAACCTGGCGCCCGGCACTTGTCTAGTTTGCCTTAGTGATAATACGGCTCTGCAAATACTCCAATATAACCTATCACAAAGCACCTCTCAATTAACCCACGTATTAACAGTGAGCCTTGCGACGGGCGCTCACGAGGAGTCCAGCTCGGAGGCCGAAGACAGGAACAATGGAGACGGCACCGCTCCACCGCGACCCAGGGCTTCCTCCGTCGACCATAACCAGAGGAGGATAGGTGAGTGACCAATTCCAAACAGTTTTTCAGGATTTTATTGTATATCTTTATTCAATTGGGTACTTGGGTAAATAAATTATTTCGACTGTAATTAAGCAATCGATCAGCCCGTACCACCACTAAACCGATTGCTGATGAAGCCGATCAAATTGCATACATTCATATGTATACTTTAACTTCTACTAGTCATCTAGTAGAAGTTAAAGTGCATTATTATTTAGCATTATGTTATTTTATTAATATAATTCAATTATATGTTAGTCTTGTAGGATAATTCGTTAAGTAAACACCTTGTAATAAATAAATCTTTTTTTAATTAAAATCCTGATTGCCGTTATCTAACTCTGTTCAATACAATAGAATGTTAAAAAATAATCACACTTTCATTAATTGTTTTTATGACCAACTTAATTTTAGTGTTTATCCAGCAAATTTTTAAGAAGTAAGTATACTGTTTGACGCTAAAAAATCGTGACGTCACAATACACAATCTCGTACAAAATTCATAGAAAACTGACGTTTTTGACAGTTAGAAAAAAGTATTGAATTTGACTAGTTGGCAAGTCAAAACGACTGAAGGGATCGGGATTATTTTTGGAACAGGAGAAGATTATGGTCTGGATTAACACATAGGTTCTTTATACGCCACGGGAACGCGGGCGAAGACACTGGCACAAGCTAGTATGAGTGTCGCGGAGAACTTAACGGGTAACCGGGGCTCCGGCTTATTATGTATATTTGTGCTCAATTGTCTCGCAATTAGGTGAACCGATTTGCGATACGGTTTTTAGAAAAGTATTTGTTACTCTTAGTATTAATATACCTTAATAATACTAGAAAGGCTGAGAATCGAAATGACCCAGCGGCAGTTCTAGGTAAATCATTATTTTATTTGGTAAATTTTTTTTTTCAACTGAAAACAGTTATAATTATTAAAATACAATAAATAAAATGTCGTGGTGGCCCGGAGGTTTAAGACGGCTTCTCATGTATGAGGGTGCTGGTTCGAAACCTATCAATGGCAAGTACCAACCTACCAACGGCAAGTACCAATGTGACTTTTTCCGAGTTAATTATGTACTTTCTAAGATTATTTAGACACCACTGACAAACGGTGAAGGAAAACATCGTGAGGAAACCTGCGCTTATAATTTCTAATTATAAGTTTGCAATCGCCAGCCCGAATTGAGCAAGCGCGGTGAGTAATGCTCAAACCTTTTCCGTGTGAGAAGAGACTTTGGTCAGCAATGGACATTTATAGACTGTTGATGATGAATAAATAAAAGTCAAAAAGTTTCACGGACCTAACTTTAGAAATAAGAAAGATATGAATTATCAAACTTCCTAAAAAATATGGGACGCCACCCTTACTAGAGTTAATAAACCGACCTCAAAAAACGAGGGGTTGGAGACGGTTTTTTTTTAAAAGTAGAGTGTAATCACAACACATAAGACATTTGTCTGGACTTTAAAAGAGACAGACCTCTGAGTTTGTTTCGGCATTTCTTCTCAGAGTAGTCAGTTAGGAAATGTCGACCTCATCGTTCGCTTGATAAAATTGACGTGTTAAAGTGCTGCCTTGTAGCCTATTTGCGGAAATAAATTCACTTGTTTCACTTGTTTCACAATCTCACTAATCCGGCACTATTGAAAAGCGGAGGGTGCCGGAATATTTTAATGTTCGGACTACTGGGTTGTACAGAAAAAGTCATAGGTAATAAATAAAGTAAAGCATTTCATAGGGAGATTAGTGAGATTATACTGTAGTTTATAATAGAAATATTCTTGATTTCTATTTGTTTGAATAAAGTATGTAATGTACGTATTCCAGGTCGCAGTGGCAGTGAACGAGATCTTTCAGCGAAGGCTCGCGAGGTTACAGCCAGACTTACAGCGAACACAAGGCAGAGACCGAAACAGGAACCGCCTGCTGAAGCCAACTGTAAGTTATAATATTATATATAACGAAGACAATTCACCCATTGGGGGTACTTCACCGACCATCACCCAAGCACACTGCTTGACGTTTCCGACAAATGATAACAGATGGCGTTGTTCTAAAATAACGATACTCGATAGTTGTGCATCTTTGTTGATTCTGCGACATATATATATTTATTGGATAAACCGATAAACGAGCAGACGGATCACCTGATTATAAGCAATCGATGCAGTCCACGGATACCTGGAACAGCAGAGGCGTTAGAAGAGCCGCCTTTTAGGGATTATGAATTTGAAGATTGTTAGGGTTCAGTGTATTGCGAGATTGGGGAGGGGGGGGGGAAATAGACCGATCATCGAATTTGAAGGGGAAATTGTGCCTCCGGAAACCTCTCACACACCGTGTCAGTAGAGTAGTAGAGCTTTTCTCAGTATATTCACGTGAGTAACCCGCGATTTTTAGTTAATTTAGTATGTCTCACGATAGTTATTATAAAAACAAAAACATACGAACGTACATCGAAACATTCAACATTTAAAAAAATCACTATTGTCTTTAGCAAATGAATCAGTGATGCCTAATTCTATACTCGTAGTTAAATCTAAACGAAACTACTGAAAACAATAATAAAAATGTCGTTTGTTCCAGTGACATCGTCCCAGCTGTGCTCTGCGCTGACGGAGCAACTGACGAAGACTGCCAGCAAGGTGGTGCAGCTGTACGCCAGCCTGCAACGAGAACCCAACGCTGCGGCCGACATCAGCGGTGAGATACTCTGACTATAGATAGCTCTGATACATAGCTCTGACTATAAATCCGAGTGGTCGCAAGTGCGACTGCCGGGCAAGGGGTCTCGAGTTCCCGGGTCGGGCAAAGTATTACTGGGTATTTCAAAAAATTCACAGTAGTAGCACGGAGTCTGGAATTGTGCCCGGTATATGGCAATAGACTCACCCCCTTTTACATGGGACTTATAATGTACATTGTGAAAAGTGGGTGTTATATTGTACAGTGGCATAATGTTCACCTCTGCCTACCTCTTCAGGGATAAAAGGCGTGATGTTATGTTATGTTTATCTACTACAATTTGTATCCTTTATGGGACATTCAGAAATATGTTGGTCGGTGCTGAAAAAACATTAGACACGTATTTCTTTATTTATTGTCGTATAAGAAAACAATGCTCCGGTAACCTCACTCACACGACGAAACATAACGCTGTGGTTCACGTCGTGTGGATTTCACGTCGGTGTCCTGGGCGCTTACTCTTGAAACCAATCACAATGTCAATGCAATTTCAATCCAATAAAATCGCAATAATTATTCAATGTCAACATTATACTACCCCAATCGTAGCTGTTAGAATAGCATTCAGAGTACGGAATATAAAGCCAAACTCAATACCATTTAGTTCATTAAATATCCACGGAATACGGATGCAATGGGCGCTAGTGTTGAATCTCAAGAGTACGAAAGTTCACAATGTCAATGTCGATCGATCGGAATTGGATTCAAGAGTAAGTTTCCTGCTCGGCCGTGGTATCACTCCGGTCGAGCCGGCCCAGCAGTGCCAAAGCATGGCTCTCCCACACTTACATCACAACAACAATTCGTTGGCAGGTTCATACGTCATCACTACATAGTATAAAACAAAGTCGCTATCCGCCGTCTGTCTGTCCCTATGTATGCTTAGATCTTTAAAACTACGCAACGGATTTTGATGCGGTTTTTTTTTAATAGAGTGATTCTTTAGGATGGTTTATATGTATAATACATGCATACCAGGGCGGGTCGCTAGTACTTAACCTCTGGCGTGTTTTAATATAACAAGTTTTTTCCCCACACAGGTCTGGAAGCAGCAATCCTAGAGACTCAGAAAGTGTTGCGTAGCGCGGTCAGCCGGGCACAGAATGGAGACCAAGCACTCAGCAGCCTGTCCTCTACTGACGGGGACTATAGACTACAGCCACCTCTAGACCATCTCGTTGCTAAAGGTAAACAAGTAATACATTAACTAAAATCGCGGGTTACTCACGTGAATATACTGAGAAAAGACATATGTACAAAGCCATACTACTAAATAATTTTAGTTGTAAACTAGTTAACTAGTTGTTAAACTAGTAAAAATTTCAGTGGTAGCACGGAGTCTGGAATTATGCTGGGTATATGGCAATAGGCTCACTCCCTATTACATGGGACTCATAACATAAATAGTGAAAAGGAGGTGGCATTAAGTGCCGTAATGTGCACCTCTGACTAACCCTTCGGGGATAAAAGACGTGATGTTATGTTTATGTTATTTTTAAAAAAATATTGTATAATCTTCTTGGTGGTTGAATCGTGCAAAGCGTTGAAGGCTCGATTCCTGAGTCAATATTGTTATGTTTTTGTTATTTAAACATAAAATAATTTCTGAAATACATAGTCAAAGTCAAAGTCAAAATCATTTATTTCAATTAGACCAGGAAGGCACTTTTGAACGTCAAAAAAAAAAATATTTAAACATTAAATAATAAGAAAAAATGTCAGTCTGTAGGTCAGTCCTCTAGTGAGGCTATTTGCTTGTTCCAAGGTGTAGATTCCTATAGAGAAGAACGAGCAAAAAACTCCATAGGTTACTCTTTTTCAATCAGGTTCACAATACAATTTTTGTTCATAATAATATTAACTCGTCGAGTACCGGTTTTGTAGACACAATTATAGAACAATAGGTTGCGGTCACCGGTGACCGCTTGGTGTTTGACAGTTTAACCTTCACAATAGGGTAATTTCCTAAATTATATTTTAATATCTGTCTGGTACATTGTTTTAAAACTTTAGACACGTATTTTTTCTTTTCTCACAAAATTAAATACTTTCGACGATATATTAATTTGAAATATCGTGTGACGTTACAGCGTGTCACATTTTGTAGTACGTTATGACGCAACAACCTCCCACTCCTAAACTTACACCATTTTATCTAAGTATTGCAACTTAATACGAGAAAATAAAAAAATACGTGTCCAATAGTTTTTTCATTATCTAATTAGACGAACTAATTAGATTTTCAATTTTGATACCCTGGAAACTATCTAATTATCAAAAAACTAACTTCAAAATTTTTATTCACAGACGCAGCGAACTCTAGCAACCCAGCCATGTCGCTGATAGAACAATACTCAGACATCCTCCTAAATATGATGCAGACGAAAATGGTGAGCCAATTTAACCAGCCACAGAGCCTACCGCCAAACACGAGGGATCCCGCAGGAGAAAGCTAATGAAAAACCCAAGTGTAGTGACTATGAACTGTGAAAATGTGACTTTTTGTGTGAAATAAGTGTTAAAACTGTGTGATGGAGTGTGAAGTGTGATTTAACTATGGATTGTCGGAAGGTGGGTGTATTTTTGGTGTCTTTGTTAAAAAAAAATTCGATGTGTGTTTAACCAGAGCCGTATTATACCTAAGGCAGACTTGACAAGTGCCGGGCGCCAGGTTACAGAGGGCGCCGCGAGACACGCGTGTACAACTTGTATAGAGAGTGACGAGGGCGCCAGAAGTAATTTGGGGCGCCCATGAGGTGCTTCCCTAGGGCGCTCTCTTGGTTTAATTCGCCCCTGTGTTTGTTTCCCTTTTGAGACAAAAACCAATAATGATATTACTTTACAATCTACAGTAAAATCACATTTCTACATAAAAGTTGATGTTAACTTAACTAAATTAAATAAAAAGTTAAAAATGTTAACTTTGACCTCTAGTTACGGGGGTAATTTTTAACCAAAATATTGTTAAAACTACTTAATATTAATGAAATTGTAAGTCAGACATCGATCATTAATAGTTCTGTCCATATAATGATATTAATCGAATTGTCGATTTGATAAAAATAACGAGTATAAAAAGTAAGACAAGTTTTTTGAAAAAAAGTGATATTTAAGTATATTGTAATGTGTTAAAATGTTTAATTATGGTACTTTAGAATTTCTATACACACCAGCTCACGTAGTGTAGATGTCCAGTCAACAAGGATGTAGCGAGGTTGACTGTCCAGGCGACACATGTACTTAGGTATCGTCATGAGCTAATGTTCACATGTAAACTATCTTTTACCGCATTTAATGAGCGAAAATAAACTTTATTCCCATCAAAATAAAGATTTCTATAGTACCATATGTTAATATAAAAGAAAACATCGTAAATTCACACGTGAGAATGTAAATAACGATTTTTAAAAATTAATAAATAATAAATTAGGTACATTTGTCAATTTGTATCTTTAGATGTCCAAGAAAAGTCGTTAAAATATAAAATAATCGAGAATGCTGCCATTGTTATTAAGATCAGCGCCATCTATGTTCTGTCAAACGAACTATTGGTGTAGAAAATTGGATTTTACAACAATTATTCGTCTATTTATTGAAATGTTTGTGCCCACGCGCTTATATGTTTTGTATTTATGACTATTTTTATATTAGCATTCCGCCCAAAGTTTCATCTGGTTCTGAAAGTCCATATCTCAATCTATGTATATGCCAAATTGTATCTCAATCCGTTCAGTAGTTTTTACATTAAACACAAATCCTCAAACTTTATTGTTTCGAAATATTAAAAGACTATTTATTTGAAATATACCTGTTCATTGAAAAAAAAATACTTCAAGAAAAATCATTCTATATGTTCTTCTTCCATACTCTCCTATCAATCATAACATCACAAAATCTTTGTTCTTTCGCATCACGCCTAAAAAATTTCTTACTAGATTCTGCCAACGGTCTCGCCCGCGTTCTCGTGGGTTAAATAGTCTCTGTATGACCAGACCATAATCTACTCCTTACAAATTTCAATCCGATCTACCCCAACAGTCATCGGTTCTTTGACAAATGTGACCGGTTTACACAGAGCCGTATTATCCCTAAGGCAAACTAGGCAAGTGCTGGGCGCCAGGTTACAGAGGGCGCCGCGAGACGCGCGTGACTTTCTGACCATAGAGTGACGGCGGTGCCAAAAAACATTATGGGCGCCTATGAGATGCATGCTTAGGGCGCTCTCCAGGTTTAATCCGCCCCTGGGCCCACTGCATTTCCAAATTATTGTATTTGAATATTTGATTCTTTCTTTTGATGACGGGGTCAACCTGACACTGTCGCCTGGGTTTTTTGGGTTAAAGACTAGGAAGTGTGGGATTCGTACTCAAACTCAAAAGCATTTATTTCAATTTAACAATAATTTGGTACTTTTGAAACGTCAACAAATATGAAATATATAATAGTCTGTCAGTCTGTCCGTCAGTGAAGCTAGGCGCTCGTTCCAAAATGTCGATTCGAGTGGAGAAGAACGAGCAAGAAACTACATTCGTTACTCTTTCAAAAAGAAGTCTGTTTTACATTGCTCTGATACATATTCCAATATTGTACACACATGTGAGAATAATGTAAAGACATACCTGACGCAACATACAAATAACAGAACATACTAAAATAGAAAAAATCTACCTTACTAAAACCACCCCGATGACCATCCTCAGCTCCTGTAAGGGGCACCGGGTCCGGGTCCTCTGAAGAGACCGACTCCGGAGGCCACACGGTGCAACGCTTGTTACAGCACATCCCTAGGGATCTATCATCTCTGTCAGACCTCCTGATCATTCATACTTTTTTACAAGGAGTATTTTTGACAGAACTTTTTATAATGAAAAAAGTGTCTTGTTGAATACTGCTTTGTATAAATAAACCAAATTATTAATATCTGACATCATGCCCTTTTTAAGGGAAATTTTCCATTATTATCTTATTGCATTTAATTTAATCATTCCAAATATTAGTTAATTTATTAATAACTAGCGGACCCGACAGACGTTGTCCTGCATATCCACTTGAATGTATAAATAAAAATTTATTTAAATTAGTTCAGCCGTTTAGGATAATTAACCTAGACACTGACTGTAGCGCTATCTGCCGAGCTGATTTGTGAATCTATACCATCCAGGGCGCCACACAAACGCGTACAGAAAAATTTATTTAAATCGGTCAAGCCGTTTAGGAGGAGTTCAATGACATACACACGTACAGCAGAATTTTATATATAAGGATATACATTATTTGAAAATAAATTGGATATAAAATTACCAATATAATAGTTTCTATTGTATGAAATTTCAAGTATATGGCAATAGACTCACCCCCTATTACATGGGACTCATAACATAAATAGTGAACAGTGTCCGAGTACTATATTTCATATGTACATCTTAACCTATTATGTTTTGTATACCTACGTTTATGTATTTAATCAAAAATTAATATAAAAATTCTGACTCACCTCGAGTCCAACTACCGACCTCGAGGCTTCAATTCTGTCTCCTATTTCATTTACACTAAATAAATCCTCCCGATCGTTAGATCATGGTGGCAAGTCTAACTAGACTAGTCCACTACGCACGAGATATTACTGTGTACAAATGTGTGCACAAACAAGTGTTCTCTCTGTTCCCTCACTCTCATTTGCTCTATTTGTGTAGGATATCTATTTTATTTCCAAATAAAAGTTCTATGACTGCAAATAATATCATTCCTTAGATGATCTAGAAAAGAAACTATAACTGCAGCAGATATATCTGAAACTCCATTTTTTTTAACCTAAATTCCTTCTGATATGTCCCGATTGATAATCTGTTCTGATGATTCAGGCAGTTAAAAATATTATGTTTCCATCTAAATTAAGTAAAAGTGTAAATGTACCGATTATGTCACAAAATAATTGTTTAATACAAGTAATTGTTATTGTAACTATTTTAATAAGGGAAATTAAATCAACGACAAAAGTATTGTAATTGTAGATTTGTAGAATTTTCAGTTATTTGTATGTAATCTGAATTTGAAATCATATCAACAGCTTATAAGTGGCTAATGCTGACCAAAGGCCTGTTCACACTCGGAGCAGGTTTGAGCATTAACCACCACACTTGCTCAGTGCAGGTTGACGATTTCAAACTTATAATTAGAAATTATAAGCCCAGGTTTTCTCACGATGTTTTCCTTCACCGTTTGTCAGTGGTGTCTAAATAACCTTAGAAAGTACATATAACTCGGGGAAGTCTACCTATCCTCAACACGATCTTGTTTGTAACTTACAATAGGGTAGATGCTTAATTTTTATTTTAATGTCCGTCTGGTAGATTATTTTAAAACATTGCACACGTATTTTTATTTTCTTACAGAAACGAATACTTTCGACGATATATTGATTTAAAATGTCGCTTGACGTCACTTCTATGTACATTTTATACGTAGAAATGACGTTTTAGCCCCCACTCCTAAACTTTGATTCGTTTTATCTAAGTATTGATTTATTATACGACAAAATAAAAAATACGTGTCTAATATTTTTTCATTATCTAACTTACGGACTAATTATATTTTTAATTTTCATACCCTGTCATCATCCCTATTGTTTGCAACCGCTCAATCTTTGTTGTGATAACCTGGGCGTCTTCAAGGCCCGAGTGAATAGGCTGCTTATGTAGGCGTGCTCCATCGTAGGCCGCATCATCGTGCACCACCAGGCGAGATAGTGGACAAACATAGACTCAATTTGCATTAAAAAAATTTCCTTATTAAAATAGTTATACTGAATATAAAAATCTGAAATGTTACGCTTAAAATTGTGAATTATCACAATAATCGTTATCATGTATTTTATATTGCTTTTGTATGAGAATAAATATCACTATTATGTTTTTATTTAAGTGTGTGGTTCTTCAAAAACTATGATTTAGTTCATCGACTCTGACAGTCTATTGCTGGGTTATAGGCCTTGTTTACAGGTATGACCTTAATCTCCACACTTGGGTAATCGGGTTGGAGATAGCTTGGCATCATAATAACTGAGCCTTGTTTAGTTACTCATATTGGATCATTTTGACCACATATGTGGTTAAAATTTGATCTCAATACTTGGCATCGGATTGGAGATTGTTTAACATCGTAATAACTGATGCTGAAAACAAATACGAGGTCATGTTTTTTAAGAATCACCATTGTAATGTAAAATATACAAATCTTTATGAATCCTGCGACTCATTGATGCCCAAAGAAATATGTACTTGTAATAAATTGGTCGAATTTCAGCAATTTTTTGAGTTCAAATGTCTAAGTCTCTAAGCAACGGATCCTTTCCGGGTCTAGTAAAGTAGTATTACATTTTCGAAATAGTTAATAATAGTATGAAATCCATAATATATTGGAGATCTTTGGCGAAAAGATGAATTGTAACATTATATCAAGACATCTGCCTGTCTCTTACATGAAAAGAATATCAAATTAATTCTAGAAATAAAGACATTTGGTTTCATCAATTTTATAGCTAATACGATCAATTCAAAGATCACAGTCGCTTATAAGAAATATCGTGTTTTGTAAATAAATGAAATGTATGACTCAGTTTTTGTTAAAAATGTATGTAGTACCAATATAGTAGGTAAAACCGGCGTTAATTGTCATAGAGGTTATAATACACAACTTAACTAACGAAATATAAATCCATAATCCCCAATCCCCCTAATACCCCATCCCCCATCCCCCATCCCCCACCCCAAACCCCTCAATACCCAATCCCCAAAAGGCCGGCAACGCACTTGTGATGCCTCTGGTATTCCAGGTGTCCATGGGCGACGCTGATTGCTTACCATCAGGTGATTCGTCTACTCGTTTGCCGGCCCATGTCGTCGAAAAAATACATTGATAATATTCTTTGAGAAGATACATTCGCGATTACTCGCTGAAATTAATAACTGGTTTAATCCAAAATCTCTGTAACAAAACTATTTTTTTTAATGTCACAATCCCGCCTATACCGCTGCAACTCCTGTAAGCCAGAGTCTACCGTAGATGCAACCATGAAAACACCGGAACATTGAAGTCCGGCGCGTCCCAAGGACATGAATAACTGTCTTGGTTCCCGCAACGAAATGAATCAGAAGATATTATAAGAGGAAAAGAAAAATATATATAAAACTTACCTATGACGAAAATCATTAGTCCACAGATTTGTGGATTTTTTTTTTTTTTTTTTTAGGGTTTTTTTTTTTTTTTAAGGGGGGAAAATCATCGAATGACTGCCCCCGCCTGGGTGAGGCGGGAGGGAGTGTCAGACTCTTACTGACTAAAAACCACCCCGTTCCTTCTCCTGCACGTCGAGCCGGAGCCCCGGTTACCCGTTAGGTTCTCCGCGACTCCGAAACAGATTTGTGGATAGTTCGCTTATAAAACATCAGTCGTTAGACAATCAGCCCCGGTTTTGTCTATTCCTTATTGAATAATTCAATTTAATTTGCCATGTATGTAAAAAAACTAATTTTAATATCCTTATGTACTAGATAATATAATAATTCCTAAGTTTATTCATATAAATAATGATTTTTCTAGTTTTTTAGTTGGTCGACCTTGTATTTTATGTTGTATAGATCAGCACACTAATTTTTAATGTAGGCGGAATAAAAATTTGAAATTTATATTTTGGTTATTTTCTTTTTTATTTTCCTTTATGTTGTTTTTTTAAACGGTTATATTTAGCTTGCCCCGTTTGTTTATTTGGGTCGAGTTTAGTAATTTAAATTTCACCCCCTTCCTGACGACAGATCGATCTGATATTTGGTACACACTCTTAATCTTAATGACTATACAATATTATCTAATTAAAAACTGTTTAACATTAAATATATTTTTATGTATGATTTGTTGATTTGGTCTTATACTAAAAGGCTACCAGATTTCTATTAAATACTAAAAATAATGACGTTTGTGTGCCAACCCCCTCAAATTCATATTTATTTGTGAAGGAAACAGAAACACCATCTGTATGTAAAATTTTGAACTGACTGGATACCACGGTTCATGAGATAACGCCTGGTATTAAACAGATAGACACTTAAGCCTAAGGGTAACTATCCACGTTGCGTCATTTGCCCAATGCATGCATCCTTCACGAACAAGGTGGCCTTTTTTGAGCGGGGAAAATCATCCAATGACTTCTCCCGCCTGACTAAAAATCACCCTGTTCCTACTCCTGCCCTTTGAGCCGGAGAGGCAGCCTACAAATGCCAAATGCTCGCATCTTGCTTAGATACAATGAAAACTGTCGACGAAGCGGCAACGTTAAATGCGTCTATCGTTTGTGAAGGATGCATGCATTCGTCAAATGACGCAACTTGAACCGTAGCCCTTAGTAACAGGGTTCCGTTCATTTCAATACAGAACCCTACAAATCCAAAAAATAAACTTTCCGTGCACGTTTTCACAAACCTCTCTTAAACTGTCAAACACCAAGCGGTCACCGGTGACCGCAACCTATTGTTCTATAATTGTGTCTGCAAAACCGGTACTCGACGAGTTAAATTTTAAAGAGCCCCTTAACTAAGACGTTTTCGTTTTCACTTACCTAAGTGACACCCAACAATACAAGTAATGGGTGAATTTATGTGCTCTCTCACGCTAAGTAGTTCTTAGTAAAGAGACAGTTTAGGAGTGGTAAGTGAAAACGGTCATCGGTGTTGTACTCGATAGTCGATAGATGGCATCACTAGACATATGCGCAAGAGCACGTTATTATAAGTGATATAATCCGGAATTGAATAAAATACAGTGATAGTTTAATCTATATTGTTCATATAATATTATATTCAAATAGTTGAATAAAAACTTATTCTGTCGAATTTCTTTATTACATTTTTAGCTTTATAAATTTGATATAAAGTCCAAAATCTAATGAATAATGCAGACAAAACAGATTGGAGTACTTACATTCTCTATTGCAATCAAGGACATTGAAAAAAATCCAGACACAATGTCCCTTAGTCATGATTGAAGCACCAAAATGTCAGTGGGTTATTTATGTGTGCGTGTGTACGTTACCAGACTTAACAAAATGACAGATGCCCTTCGTGTCAATGTGTGTGTGTGTTCGGCGTGTAAGTCTATAGTAACCTGCAGCTGTAGCCAAATGCCATTTAGCGCTCGTCTACATGTATAATAGAAAACCAAATTATATGGAATTGACGTAAATTTTGATACTTGTCAGTGTCATCCCCATTGATTTAGTTTTCTCTCTCTCTGTAGACAAGCGCTAAAGTGGCGTTTGGCTAAAGGAACTGAGCCTGAGCTGGATAAGTGTAAAAATTTACGTCAATTCCATATAATTTGGTTTTCTAATCTACATGTAGACAAGCACTAAATGGAATTTGGCTACAGTTGCTGGTGCGACAGTCGTTTCAAGGGACTGTGTCCGCCTATTTTCAACGTCTTTGGCTGCGATTAAAAATCAGTTTCAATACGTATCTATCTGTTAATATGCTTACTCACACAATTTTGACATAAGATTAAAAAAAAGTGTCAAAATTGTGTTTATAGTAAGTAGATCCACCCGTATTATACCTAAGGCAAACTATGCAAGTGCAGGGCGCCAGGTTACAGAGGGCGCCGCGAAACGCGCGCACAAATTAGGGGCGCCTAAGAGGTGCTTGCCTAGGGCGCTCAATAGGTTTAATCCGCCCCTGAATCCAGGTTATTGAGATTGCCTATATATCTCTCACTAATCCTAAGAGTAATTAGGTATTACATAATATTAAATTAGATTAGTTCGCATAAAAGTCACGGCCATACTCAGTTTTAAGGTACAATATAAATAAAAAACAATATTTTCATAGTAACCAGTTGATTTTTATAACTATCTACATAATTAACAATTATACATAAGCTTTAGACAGCAAAGGACATTATAATCAATTAAAATAAATATATACACGCTTCGCTATTTTCGAAATAATGTAATTAACAAAATGGCCGCTGGTTTTGGCGGGATTTCTTGTTTTTAGGTTATGTTTAGATGTACAGTAGTCAGTCGAGAAGTTTTTATGAGAAATAATAAAATGAAATTAAAAAAAATGGTGTGTTTTATTGTACATTTTTAATCCCATCATCTAATTCAATTTTTATATTAATCGGCTGTTGTGCAGCATGTTGCGGATTCGATTTCCGCACGACACAATTTTTCAGGTGTTGTTTGTCCCTGCCCTGGGTATGATGTGCATATGAGATTAATATTAATTGTCCCAACGACACAAAAATAAAAAAAATCAACAATAATGCTTAAAACGAAATTAAAAACACTACGTTTCTAAAATTTATGTTACCAGATGGGAGTTAAAAACAAAATAAATATCTGACCTTCTTATTTTGTTTACAATCTTTACAATAAAACAAGTAACTTCTATCTAGGTTCATCATCACATTCTTCAATAACATTATAATCATAGTTCCTCTTGATGATGCCGGCTCTAACCAGCAGCTCCAATACAGGGCGACGTCGCGCGAAGCGTTGCCGGTATGTCGTTGAACGCACTCCTGCAATGTTAAGTATATAATCATCATCATCATCATCAATGTCTAATCGAGCCGGGCCATTGGTGTCGAAGCAATATATTTTTTTATGGACACCCTCAACACCAGAGGAGTCACAGTAAAAAGGAATAAGCTGTTGAAGGTTTGAAGGTCGTGTCGGTTCGGAAATACCGCCGACGACAGATCATTCCACAGTCATATATAATATACTAAAACAGCTAATATTTTTCTCCTAAACTTAAACTCAAAAGCATTTATTTCAATTAAACCATAATTTGGTACTTTTGAAACGTCAATAAAGATAAAATAAATAATAGTCCGTCAGTCTGCCCGTCAGTGAAGCTAGGCGCAATATACTAGGTATACAATATATTATACGCCTAGGTGTAATATACTTAAACTCCTAATATTTTCCTGCAATAACAACGTTTTCGAAAAACAAGAAATATCTCGAACACTAGACGTCGTTGCTCAAAAATAACGTTATTTCCAAACTCCCCTAGGTTTTATTTAAAAAATTGTGGTGGCCAATCCACCACAATTTTTTGACTGACGGACTGGGATTATACAATAATGCTAGAACCTGTCATAAAAAGAAGACCCATGTCGAGCAGTAAAAGACCGTGGACTGATTGATGATGAAATTAACTTTTTCTTTAAGAATATTTCATTCCTTTCCTTAAAATTAATTCATAGTTACGGTACGGTACTATTAGAGTTGGAGTAAACCCAGAGAGCGCCCTAGGCAAGCACCTTATTAGCGCCCTTTCTGGCGCCACCGCCGCAGTATGTCTCGCGGCGCCCCTCTTTAACCTGGCGCCCGGCACTTTATGATAATACAGCTCTGGGTACCATGTATTACTTACGTGAAGATTGCAGAGGTTTAGTTACAAGTTGAGGTCCAAATTCGTAAAGAATTTGAAAGTCCGCATGATTGCCGAGACGGAAGCCGAAACCGAAACGGTGGTCGTTGCCTAGAATGGAAATAAAATATGAAATCATTCTTCCTCGTTCTTTTACATAGGAATTTACACTTTGGGACGAGCAAACAGTTTCACTAGTTGACTACCGATATACCGACCGACAGACTAAAGGTCGTCGTACATCTAATACGCACGACTCCAACCCGGCAATTGAGTTGTCATTTAAATATGAACTTTAAATCGTATGTCGTATGACTCGTATGATATATGTCATACCATCAATACAAAAAGCCGAAGGCGGGTGGTCAGCGCGCGGTCCCACCATGCGCCAACAAAACAAAGTCGCATCGAAGGTCGACCGCGCGCTTCTCGCAAGTTTGAAGCGCGCTCTCTCTTCGGTGACGCCGTGCTGGAGCCGTACTTTTTAGATGAGCGTTGAGCTCTCGCGCAGTCGGCACACGTATAGTCAAAAATACCTACCTACGATGCGACGTTGTTTCGCTGGCGCCTAGTGGGCTGCTCGTCGTCAACTCGCCGAAGACCACACCTCGACTACACCTCGAGTGGACTGCGCGCTGACCACCCGCCGTCGGCTTTTTATATTGACGTTATTAAGTAAATTACAATACGATTAAACTGTCAAACACCAAGCGGTCACCGGTGACCGCAACCTATTGTTCTATAATTGTGTCTACAAAACCGGTACTCGACGAGTTAAATGTTCATATTTAAATAGCATCTTTATTACTGGGTTGAAGGCGTGATTATTAGATCTTCGATGACCTTAACGATTTATAGCTTTTTAAAATTGTTTAATATTAGCCTATGTTTAACTTATCTTACCTTTATGTAGGGGTGGTGCAAATCCATAAATAGCTGCTAAACCCGCTGGAACATCTTCTGGTATCACTACCAGCACAATTGTAGCGATTGGAAGACCTGGATGATACGTAATATCAAGGTTTTTAACTCGTCGAGTACCGGTTTTGTAGACACAATTATAGAACAATAGGTTGCGGTCACCGGTGACCGCTTGGTGTTTGACAGTTTAATCCCCAAAAGAGTAAGGAGAGATAACATCACATAACACCACGCCTTTATTCCCCGAAGGGGTAGGCATTATGACACTGTACTACAATGTAACACCCACTTTCACTATTTATGTTATGAGTCCCATGTAATAGGAGGTGAGCCTATTGCCATATATACCGAGCACATTTCCGGACTCTGTGCTACTATTGAGAATTAAAAAAAAACTCAACACATAATACTTTTCCCGACCTGGGATTCGAACCCGAGACCCCATGCCCGGCAGCCAACGAGGCAGCCAAGGCAGTAAGGAAGACATCTACCTATAATAAAGTAATCTTGACTTATTTTGTCGTCTTCTGAGTGATTTTTTATTTTTTGTGGTGGGAAAATCATCCAATGACTTCTCGGGAACCTTGGGGGAGGCGAGAGGATGGCAGACTCTTACTGACTAAAAACCACCCCGTTTCTCTCCTGCACTTCGAGCCGGAGCCCCGGCAACCCGTTTAGCCTTCCGCGGCTTCACATCGGGAATTAGCCCCATCCATGGTCTTTATTGAGGCGCGCGCGGTACGGGACGCACCGTCCACCGTAGTCTATCGTGTCACTAGTATGCCTATTTTCAAATTATAGGCTACATTGTATTATGTAGGTAAATACTCAGAATTGTTAAAATCAATATTTCCCACCCGAGTATCGAACCCAAGACTCTTTTCGCGGTAGTTGTACCTTATAATTAAAAAATCCTAACAAACACAGATCCTGAACGGAACAGAATTATAGTTACGATAAAGTACCTACTGATTTTGTAATTTTTTTCCGGACTGAGAATGGAACCCAAAACCCGTAGTTCGAAAGCTGTACTTACACACATTTGAGACAGCAATTAATAGAAGACTATTTTATGCTTTCACTAATCATTTAACTAAAATAATAAATGAAAAACATATTACAATTATGTAGACTTTTTTTAAGGGGGGAAAATCATCGAATGACTGCTCCCGCCCGGGTGAGGCGGGAGGGAGTGTCAGACTCTTACTGACTAAAAACCACCTCGTTCCTTCTCCTGCACGTCGAGCCGGAGCCCCGGTTACCCGTTAGGTTCTCCGCGACACAATTGTGTAGACTAAATACCTACTTACATTTGATAACCACGAAGACAATTACAAAACACAAATTATTATACATTTCCACAAAACAAAATATTTAACCAATAACTTCACTCGAACAGTGTTGAAGTATAAATGCTAAGAACAATACCTTTTATGACTAAATTATCATTTACTTATACAGCCACTAAAACCTATGTATTGTCTTTAAATTCCCACAGCAATCAGTAATTATTAAATCTATTGGCAAAATGTACATACATTTTAACAAGAAAATAGCGTTAGCTACACACGCCTTTGTCCCATGGTATACAGAAACTACAGAGCGCCACCTACTACGCTCCTTACATACTTCTTTAGCTTCCATCACATTCATACATCTGACGGTATACAGAAACTACAGAGCGCCACCTACTACGCTCCTTACATACTTCTTTAGCTTCCATCACATTCATACATCTGATGGTATACAGAAACTACAGAGCGCCACCTACTACGCTCCTTACATACTTCTTTAGCTTCCATCACATTCATACATCTGATGGTATACAGAAACTACAGAGCGCCACCTACTACGCTCCTTACATACTTCTTTAGCTTCCATCACATTCATACATCTGATGGTATACAGAAACTACAGAGCGCCACCTACTACGCTCCTTACATACTTCTTTAGCTTCCATCACATTCATACATCTGATGGTATACAGAAACTACAGAGCGCCACCTACTACGCTCCTTACATACTTCTTTAGCTTCCATCACATTCATACATCTGATGGTATACAGAAACTACAGAGCGCCACCTACTACCCTCCTTACATACTTCTTTAGCTTCCATCACATTCATACATCTGATGGTATACAGAAACTACAGAGCGCCACCTACTACGCTCCTTACATACTTCTTTAGCTTCCATCACATTTATACATCTGATGGTATACAGAAACTACAGAGCGCCACCTACTACGCTCCTTACATACTTCTTTAGCTTCCATCACATTCATACATCTGATGGTATACAGAAACTACAGAGCGCCACCTACTACGCTCCTTACATACTTCTTTAGCTTCCATCACATTCATACATCTGACGGTATACAGAAACTACAGAGCGCCACCTACTACGCTCCTTACATACTTCTTTAGCTTCCATCACATTCATACATCTGATGGTATACAGAAACTACAGAGCGCTACCTACTACGCTCCTTACATACTTCTTTAGCATATAAAATAAAACAAAAATGCTATAGAAAGCCCCATTTATTACATAACTACTTAAATACAAAAATATACAAAAAAGACTCAATCAAGATCCACATTGGACAAATCTTCTGTTATTTTCTTAACTTCCTCCTCGCTTCGTTTTGTGCCACCCATCTTTTTCGCGGCCTCGCTTTTCAGCTTGTATAGCTTCTTTAGATCTTCTAGAATGTTCTGTGGCAAGTTCCCGGGTTTCGGTTGATGTATTTCATATTCTCCCTTCTCGTTCTTAATGAGTTCCACCATGGAGTCTTCTAAGTTTGGCACGTCGCCGGGTTTCTGAACATTTTGAACCTGCTTTTGGGGGAACTTCATCTTCTGCGCCCAATTTTGGAGGTATTTGCTCGCGTCTGAGTGGTACTGGAAAAAGAAATTACATGTTAGTAAAATACACAGTCTGATTTTTTAAACTGTTGTCTACAACCTGCGTACAAATAGGGTAGTTGCCTAAATTAATAAGTCCTATAACGAAATTTCTGGTCTAGTGGATATTTTTGCTGACACGCTACCGAATTTTAAAAAGGCTGTAGTGAGATTATTGAGTGACCAAATACGTAGATTTTTAATATGTACTTAGATTTTTTATTTCAGTTTGTTATTTTATGTTTTAATTTTAAGTATTTCTTATTTTTTATTTTACTTTCCAATTATTTCAAATACTGATAAAAGTGTCATCGTTAGACTACTGTGCATGTTGTGAGTTTGTGACACCTTAAAATGTTGTGCATTTAAAATTTATTACAATGTAAGTGCTTAGATATAAGACCTAATGTAGCAACTACTGGTTGTCCATATTATAAATAAATAAATAAATAAATTTTATTTTAATGTCCGTCTGGTACATTAATTTAAAACATTAGACACGTATTTTTTCTTTTCTCACAAAATTAAATTTATACTTTCGACGATATAATATTTGAAATATCGTGTGACGTCACAGCGTGCCACATATTGTAGCACTTAGTGACGTAGCCAGGGTGAGGTGGGAGGGAGTGTCAGACTGTTACTGACTAAAAACCACCCCGTTCCTTCTCCTGCACGTCGAGCCGGAGCCCCGGTAACCCGTTAAGTCCTCCGCGGCTCATCTTAACGCTTGGCTGTTTGTTAGGAGATCGTAATCAGTACACTAAAAGGACCAACTCTTCTTTGAGAGGGAACCATTGAATGACTTCTCCCGCCCTGGGTGAGGCCAGACCGTGATAGATAGTGTCAAATTCTTACTGGCTAAACTCTATTCCTACTTCTGTTTCCAGCTGGAGCCCCGATAACCTGCAAGGTCGTCCGCAACCCCGGTATCGAAAGAACCGACTGACATCGTCTCTCGGCAGACGTTGCATTGTAGTTTTTAGAAGGTTCAGGTTCATCAGAGAACGCTGCTGCCCAGTCTCTGTCAAATGTTTAGTCCTTTAGTCGGGTATACGATACCCGTGGAAGGAGTAGGGCTGGTGACAAAATGTATTCTAATCTGGCATCAAAAAAATTGGGATGTAAGGGAGGACAACACCATCTAAGTACCCCAGCCAACCTCACTTGCTAGTGGTACATCCTGCCGATTAACGGACGAGGCTCTGGCGACCGGCACATGGAAAGACGTGTTCTGGAGTGGAGACCGCGTCTAGGCAAACGTAGTGTAGGGCGCCCTCCAGCTAGGTGGAGTGACGATATACGTAAAGTGGCTGGTCGTGGTTGGATGCGTAGAGCTGAAGACCGAGCTCAGTGGCGTGCCGTTGGAGAGGCTATGTCCAGCAGTGGACGGAAACAGGCTGATGATGATAAAAAATAAGTATTACCTTTTCTTTATTTTTCTGTAGTTTCGCCGGCGGTGGCGAATTGACTTGTCGCTTGGCATTCGAAGATGTTGATTGGAAACCTTGACCATCTGTGAAAAAAGTAAAAATAATATTTTTAACACAACATTTCAACTTTTATAGGGGTAGACAGGGGTCCACCATATACAACATACAGTCCCATGTAATAGGGACTGATTCTGTTACCAGAAAACCCTTTATCCGATTCTCAAATCGAGTTCAAACTTGATTTTAAATGCGTTTATTCTCAAACTAGCGACCCGTCCCGGCTTCGCACGGGTGCAATATGCATGTATTATACACATAAACCTTCCTTAAGAATCACTCTTATCTATTAAAAAAACCGCATCAAAATCCGTTGCGTAGTTTTAAAGATCTAAGCATACATAGGGAAAGACAGACGGCGGATAGCGACTTTGTTTTATACTATGTAGTGAAGAACAGGTAATATAAGGAGTCGAATTCTTTGTTAGAATCTGTGTCTCTTGAAGGGTGGGTGTCTTCAAGTCTCAAGTGAATAGGTTGCTTTGCTTATGGGACGACGTGCTCCATCGTAGACCGCATCACCGTGCACTACCAGACGAGATAGTTGGTCAAACATAGAGTTTGTACGTTTGCACGCGCTAATCTCAGGACCTACTGATTCGATTTTTATTATTATTATTATTTATTTATAGCAATCTATTTGTTAAATGCAGCACACTTGTACGCGGGGTCCAGTGACTGCCCCGTTTATATTTACAACCTCCTAGATGAGGTCTTGAGGAGTCTTTCTCTTTAGTCTTCTAGCGACTGTTTGGGTGTCCATCAGGTTTACTGCTGTTTGGATGGCTTGTGATGCGGTCTTTGTACACTTTAGTCATTTTTGAAATTTCTTCCATTACAGTAAAATATTTTTGTATTGTATATTACAGTTATCGAGGAAGGCTATAGCCGTGAAACATTACGCTACGGTCAATAGGAGCCGAGCATTGGCACTTGCGGCTACTTAACCAAAAGTAGTCAATGTCGTGTTTTTTATAATAACTATCGTGAAATATACTAAATTGATTAAAAATCGCGGGTTATCCACGTGAATATACTAAGAAAAGCTCTACTAGTAGTAGTACAATAGGGAAGAATTTTTATTTAAATGTCCGTCTGGTATATTATTTTAAAACATTAGACACGTTTTAATCAAAAATTATTTTGAATTAAATAAATCGTATCGGGGGCGTCGGCCACAGGTGCGTCGACCACTGGGGGCCTAAGCCACGGACCCGTATTTTTTCTTTCCTCACAAAATTAAATACTTTCGACGATATATTAATTTGAAATATTGTGTGACATATGCGCATAGTGACGCAACGACCTTCCACTCCTAAACTTAACTCCATTTTATCTAAGTATTGTAACTTTATACGAGAAAATAAAAAAATACGTGTCTAATATTTTTTCATTATCTAACTGACGGACTAATTAGATTTTTAATTTTGATACCCTGGCAACTACCCTATAGCCTACGACAAAATCGCCACGACCGCAGACGCTGCTCCTGAGGAAGAACCCCTCTGTAGTTCGTTACTAGTAGAGCTTTTCTCAGTACAGCCAAGTCAGTAACCCCCGATTTTTAGTTAATTTAGTAATCAATGTCGTTAAAAAGTATTAAACTAATTATAAAGTACCTAAATGGTAAAATAATAACCACTTGAATGGTAGTTGACCATGTACTTTTCCGGTTGAAGTAAAGTAACTGTGTTTTAGAGGTCAAAACCATAAATAAAGTGCAAAATTAAAAAGTAAAGGTGTTATTAAATATTTTTTTTTTATTTTTAACATCAGGCCTTTTAGTCTCTGACATGGTAAGAAGGGCACAATGTCTTACAAACTTTTAAATTGTTTAATTGCTTATAGATACATGAAATTAACTTATTACCTACTAAGTATATATATATATATATATGTATATATACTCTTGAAACCAATCTCAATGTCAATGCAATTTTAATCCAATAAAATCTCAATAATTCATCATCATCATCATCAACAGCCTATAAATACCCACTGCTGAGCAAAGCCTCTTCTCACACGGAGAAGGTTAGAGCATTAATCACCACGCTTGCTCAATGCGGATTGGCGATTTCAAACTTATAATTAGAAATTATAAGTTCAGGTTTCCTCACGATGTTTTTCCTTCACCGTTTGTCAGTGGTGTCTAAATAATCTTAGAAAGTACATATAACTCGGAAAAAGTCACATTGGTACTTGCCGTTGGTAGGTTTCGAACCCGCACCCTCATGCATGGGAAGTGGGCGTCTTAAACCTCCGGGCCACCACGACATCACACACGACTCAATAATTATCCAATGTCAACACTATACTACCCCTATCGTAGCTGTTGAAATAGCACTCAGAGTACGGAATATAAAGCCAAACTCAATACCATTTAGTTCATTCAATATCCACGCAATACGGATGCAATGGGCGCTAGTGTTGCAACTCAAGAGTACGAAATTTCACAATACCAATGTCGATCGATCGGAATTGGATTCAAGAGTAATTCATATTATTAATATAATAATTTCCTATTATTTAATATAATAATTTCCTATTATTTAATATAATAATTTTTCATATTTCTGTGATTATAATTTATGAGTTTGTCTGTGTATTTGTTACTTAATCACGTCAAAACGGCTGAAGGGATTAGAATGAAATTTAGAAAAGGGATAGATTATGTTCTGGAATAACACATAGGCGGGCAAAACTTAGTACAATATAACAACCAATTTTCTAGTGAGGGTGAGTCTATTGCTATATATCGGGCTTTTAGATCCTATACGCTATTACTAAATACATCATCATCACGCCTTTTATCCCCGAAGGGGTAGGCAGAGGTGCACACAGAAGCAACACCCACTTTTCACTATTTATGTTATGAGTCCCATGTAATAGGGGGTGAGCCTATTGCCATATACCGGGCACAATTCCAGTTTTTTTTAATACCACTACCTTATACTTTTCTCGATCCGGGAATCGAACCCTGGATCCCTTGCCCGGCAGTCGAACTTGCGACCACTCGGCCATCGAGGCAGTCATTACTAAAGAATTTTCGAAAAATCTCTAATAACACTTTGACCGACCCGGAAAACATAAGGACCCCTCGCCTATTGATGCACGATGATGCGGTCTACGATGGAGCACGTCTACATAAGCAACCTATTCACTCGGGCCTTGAATACACCCAGGTTATACCCTTCAGGGTACATAGAATCTGTCAAGGTCAAAGTCAAAGCATTTATTTCAATTAAACCATAACTTTGTACTTTTGAAACGTCAACAAATACAAAATCAATAATAGTCTGTCAGTCAGTCCGTCAGTGAAGCTAGGTGAAGCTAGGTGCTCATTCCAAAATGTAGATTCGAATGGAGAAGAACGAGCAAGTAACTCCATTCGTTACTCTTTTAAAAAAAGTATGTTCTACAATGTCTCTGATACATATTCCAATACTGTACGTATATGTAAGAACAATGCAAAGACACGCTTGACGCATTATACTAATTACAAAACTTAAAACCCACAGATATATTAAAGAAGAAGATTTTTTTTAAATATTTCTAAGGTAAAAAAACCTGTGGCAAGGAATTTCACTCCTAGATCCAAATAAGGTTATAAAGGTAACTTACTTAGAGCCTGTGTATTCGTTTGAGGTCCCAACTCGAACATGACTTGGAAGTCAGCATGGTTGCCAAATGCGAAGCCGAAACCAACACGTGAGTCCGTCCCTGAAATAATATCAAAATTGATTTAAAACACGTCTCTTTTAAATTATTATGTTGTCGGCTTAGTCATGTAATTATTTGACGAGGAACTCGACTAGTTTCAAGCCATGCTAGAGGCTCATATTTATGAGCAGCATTCCACGACCCGCGACGCGGCGACTGTCGCGCCGGTTTTCTGCTCAGCCGTGGTATCACTCCGGTCGAGCCGGCCCATTCGTGCTGAAGCATGGCTCTCCCACACTTAGATTATCATAATGTTGATTTTAATTCTTACCTTTTTTAATAGGCGGTATATTTGAGTACGCCACTGAAAGTAGAGATGGCAGCTCTTCAGGAATGATCACTGAAGCGAATGACTGGGATACTGGAAAATAGAACACATTGCTATTAGAATAAAAACTATATTTACATAACAAAGTCACAATCACAAGGCAATCTTTCCTTTGAATTTTACTAACTAATCCTACTAATATTATAAATGGTAAAGTTGTATGTTTTTGTCATTCAATCCTATCAAAACGGCTGAAGGAATGTGAATGAAATTTGAAACAGAGGATGATTACATTCTGGAATCACATATATGCTACTATTCCACAGAAAGGCGGGTGAAGCCGCTGAAAGATGCTAGATAAATCAGTATAATGTTAAGGAAAATAATCGTAAGGACTGGGTATTACTTCGAAAAACTTAAACTTTTTTTATATATAATTGAACACTACATTATTCTTCCGCGTTGTTAAGCACTATAGCAATTTATTAGCATTTGTATTTTTCATTCAATGTCGTGCTGTCCCGGAGGTTTAAGACGACCGCTTCTCATGCATGAGGGTGCGGGTTCGCAACCTATCAACAGCAAGTACCAAACTTTATCCGAGTTATATGTACTTTTGAATATTATTTAGATTAAACACCACAGACAAACGGTGAAGGAAAACATCGTGAGGTAACCTAGGCTTATAATTTACAATGATAAGTTTGAAATCGCTAACCCGCATTGAGCAAGCGTGGTGATGAATGCTCAAACGTTATCCGTGTGAGAAGAGGCCTTTGGTCAGCAGTGGACGCTTATAGACTGTTGATGTATGTGTGTGTGTATGATGTGCTTGCCCAGGGCACTCTCTAGGTTTAGTTCGCCTCTGCATTTAATGTTTTTTTTAGAAACAAGCCCGCCACAACCTCCCAAAACCGCTGTAACTCCTGTAAGCCAGGATCTATAGTACAATAGATACAACCATGAAAACACCGGAACACTGAAGTCCGGCGCGACCCAGGGACATGAGTAACTTTAAAAGCAAATTGTTCTCATTTACTTATTTATTCACCATGGTGCCAATGTTCGACCGCGGAGCTGCAATACGAGCAGTCCGCCCATCACATGGGAGTGTGATCTCTGGCAGTATGAACGTAACACTATGTTAAATAATAATTTGTTTCGTCAGATGTAGCTTATTATATGAACCTTGTGGAAACTAGAACATATTTCCGTGCGTTTAGGCGCGTTTGCCATGCCTATTATTGGAAGCAAGTATAACAGCTCTCACATAGGACCCACTTAGTTTTTCGTCAAATTTCCGTGGTGCTTGGCGACTGGGCTTCACCCAGTTGTACAGTCTTTTTTGCGCCTTTAGGGCTTAATTCATTCTGTTTCCTGCAGTTATTCACCGAGGGAAGTGGAAACTATCGTTTTTTTTTCTTCTCCTCTATATAATTCTTCTGATTCACTTCGTTGCATTTATTGGTTACGTAACAGAGTCTTTAGTAATTGTTTTCGGAACCACAATCGTCACTAAGGAATAGTTTCAAATTATTTTTTAATGTGTCTGTAGACGGCAGTTACTTATTGTACTAAATAGGTGCTTAGCTAAAGATCTCATAAGTTAAGTGGTAATAATTGCATCAGTATAATAATTGCAAGGGATATCAAATTCGGTTTCAGGGTCATTAATGTGGAGAAAGAGTCGATGGCTTCGGACACCATGGTCTTTCTTGCTGCAGAAGTTCAGGCCGCATAGCTCGCTATGCCAGCATCAACGACATCATTTGTCGTGCTCTTGCCTCAGCCGGTGTACCAGCCGTATTAAAACCTAATGGTTTGGTACGTGATGACGGCAATAGACCAGATGGTATGTCATTGCTGCTAAGATGGGTAGGCATGTGCTGGTGCGGCCGCGGCAGAGAAAACGGCAAATGGCGTAAAAGTAGTACCTACTAGATTTCAATATTAATAGGTACAATGTTTTGAGCCGCTTGGGGCCTTCTAACACTTGGGTCATGGCCATGGGGTCCCAGTGCACATTCGGTTTATAAAGAAATTGCCCGTAGGCTAATCGACTCTGTCGCGGAGAACCTAACGGTCGCGGAGAGCCTAACGGGTTACCGGGACTTCGGCTCAAAGCGCAGGAGAAGGAACGGGATGGTTTTTAGAGTCCGTTAGAGTCTGATACTAATGGCGGTAGCAGTCATTCGATGATTTTTCCCCCCTTAAAAAAAGGCTAATTGACTCTATAGTTCTTCGGACAGAAAATAAGCATTGCCTTTCAACATGGCAATGTTGGTCTTCTGGGAACGTTCTCCAGTGACAGGGATGCCGACGAATTCTTTGACGCCTAATTTGTTTTTAGTTTCTTTTCCTACAAACGAACTAGAAGTATGAATAAAATATAACTAAAAACTAAAATATTATGAGGCGACTAATGGCGACGTGTTTAAAGAATGGTTATATGAAAATCACAATTCACCTGGAAAATGCAACATTACATTTAATTTATACACCCCTGTTTACCCCACTGGGGTTAAAAGGCTTGATATAAGTAAGATATTACAATATCTTACACCCTTTTTACCCACCTCTCCTAAATTTAAAGGAACCCCTACCTTAAATTAGGTTTATTTTCATCAATCTATACATGCCACCTAACAGTAAAAGTAAGGGTTTAGTTTAAGTGCTACCAGACGCTAAGTAACTCTTACTTAAGTGACAGTTTAGGGGTAAATGATGGAAACGGCCATTAATCCTTGACCCATCACTGTCAGACGTTAATAAGTGACAAAATACATTCTTACCTATACATCGTTCGCGAGATTGCAACCAGTGACACACATAAACACAAGGTTAGGTTAGGTAATGTATTCGACGCCGGTGAGAATATACCACAGACTTATGTATCTTATTCAAATACTGCCGCGCAGTTTCACCTGCTCTGCTCGGCTCCTAATAGTCTTAGCGTGATATTTTTTAGTCTATAACCTTCCTAGATAATTGCACTATCCAACACAAAAAGAATTATTGAAATCGGATCAGTAGTTTCGGAGATTAGCACGATCAAACAATCAAACCCGGAACACCAAATAAGTTAAAAATGCGTTGCCGGGAGTTTGGGGATTCTGGGGATAGAGGGGGAAGCGGGAATGGGCTGGGCAGCAGTGCTGAGGCATGGCTCTTGGTTCTCCCTTAGAGTAGTTATTCTTACATCTGACTTATGTGGTTCCCACCGGTGGTCCGCAAAAGACAAAAAATGGTACAGGCAATGTAAAAATACAAATAAGACTAGTCTATACAATGAATGACTCGCTTGAACCTCAAATAAAACTCGAACAAAAATCAAAGGAGAAAACAAAGAGGTTCAATTGATTTCAAAAATCTAAGTCACTATTTTTACGGGTAAATGATAAGATCTTAGTGTAGGACCACATGTCGCTACCTGTGCCGCATAGAGAGGGAGCCGGACGCCCGGTGCCACCACTGCGTCCATTGCGGGGAGGACACGGTGCAACACACGCTCGCCGAGTGTGTAGCTTGGGAGGAGCAGCGCCGTGTCCTCAGAAATGAAGTAGGAAGCGATCTGTCGTTGCCGGCCGTAGTGCGGAAGATGGTGGACAGCGCAGAGTCGTGGGACGCGGTGGTGTCTTTCTGCGAGGATGTGATGTCGCAGAAGGAAACTGCGGAACGGGAGAGGGAGATCTTACTGACTTCCTTTCCCAACCGCAGAAGGCGCACCGGGCGTAGGAGAAGGGCCGACAACGCCCTCTTCCGGCCCCCATGAATGGGTCCAGGGGCGAAGGACATGGGGAAGTCGCCGCCCCCGAATCGATAGACCCGAGCCGAAGGCGCGCGCGGGTGTTGGCGTGCGCCTTTGAGGCGATGCACGTGGTGCACTGCTCCGTGCAGGTTACGGGGCCCTGATTTACGGGCCGGCACTGTAATGCGGGGCTGCGGATGAATTTGGACTCCCGCGGCCCCGCACGCACGTGCGAGGAGACACTGGGGTGGTTTTAGCCGGTAAGAGTCCGGCACACCCCTCCGCCTTTCCCCAGGCGGAGGCAGTCCATGAGGATTTCCACCCATAAAAAAAAAAAAGGACCACATGTCGCGGAGAACCTAACGGGTTACCGGGACTCCGGCTCGACGTGCAGGAGAAGGAACGGGGTGGTTTTTAGTCAGTGGTCCCAGGCGGGAGAAGACAGTCGATGATTTTTCCGCTTAAAAAAAGTGTCATATATATCACATAAGATCATAATATCATATTACCTTACCTATTAGTAATAAGGTACCTATTAAGGTTTTAATGAATAATTTTGTATGGAACTTATGGCACCGACATCTAAACTATCAGTGGGTGGGTAACCTATCAGTAGGTACTAGAGGTAATAATAGTTACTTGCTTTTTAATTTTGACTTTTTGTTTATTATTAATTTTTGGTTTTTTGAAATCGGTTTTTTAAACGCAGTTTTCATGTCGTATAATAATAATACTTAGATAAAACGAATCAAAGTTTAGGAGTGGGGGGGCTAAAACGTCATTTCTACGTATAAAATGTACATAGAAGTGACGTCACGCGACATTTCAAATCAATATATCTTCGAAAGTATTCGTTAGGTACTGTAAGAAAATAAAAAATACGTGTCTAATGTTTTAAAATAATCTACCAGACGGACATTAAAACAAAAATTAGGCATCTACCCTATTACAGTCATGACACGATTGCATCCAAGCTGCATGCGAACTGCAATTTACGGTTGCAGTTATATGCGGTCCGTCTGTCTAGAGCCTTAGCTGGTAAAACCACTTTAATAACGTAGCCTTTTTTTAAGGAGGAAAAATCATTGAATGGCTGCACCCGTCTGGGTGAGGTGGGAGCGAGAGGGAGTGTCAGACTCTTACTGACTAAAAACACCCCGTTCCTTCTCCTGCGCTTCGAGCCGGAGCCCCGGTAACCCGTTAGGTTCTCCGCGACTCCTAATCGGCATCAGCCCTGTTGGGCCTCATCCGTGGTGATCTGATGGCTCTTTGAGGCGCGCGCGGATAATTACGTAGCCTATCTTGCGCTAAATGGGCAAACCAGCGGTGTAACATAATTAATTAGTAGTAATTTAGATTTAAAATGGTCAATAGATTGCCCTTTGTTCTGACATCGGTCATAAGTTTTGTTAATAACTAGCTGAACCGGCAATCTTCGTAGCTGTACCGTCTAAAAAATGTATTTTTTCTCTTTTAAACCTTCCCTGGACTTCCACGAACATTTCAAGATCAAAATTAGCAAAATCGGTCCAGTCGTTGTCGAGTTTTAGCGAGAGTAACGAACGCAAATTCATTTTTATTTATATAAATAGATTGATAGATATGTAGTCAAAAGAGAAAAAATATCTCATAAATGATTGACCCGAGGATCGAATTGTAGCGATGTTACTCAGCAGTCGTAGTTACGACCAATCAACGAGGTAGTATTACAAGTCTTTCGTGCTCTTACGTGACCTACGATCGTGTATTCGAACCTTAAACTTTACTGCCTATTGTGTAACGAACTATTAGGTAACGAAAATACAAATAAATTATAACTTTCTTATATCTTTGAATTTAATTTAAAACAATTTTAATTTTAAACGTTTCTTTACAAGTTTACACATATTCGTAACAAACGATGTCGCAATTTATTGCTTAGAATTAGCGAAATTATCGGTATTTTTTAAATCCATAGACAAGTTTACAAAACTTTATTTGAATAATCAAAACTTACCTAAAGAAAGTAGGAAGAAACACACACACCGTTCCATAATCATTTTTGTTAATTTCTTTTAATTTTAACACACAACACTTGGATAGAAATCAAGAAATAAACACGAAAATATCAAAATAAAAACATTTCAATGACTACCACTGCCCGCCATTTTTTTTAAACTCGAATAAAAAAATAAAAACGTCAACCACGGAGCGGTTTTGCCGCCAAACTAAAATACGAACAAGGAACGAATTTCAACTTTCACTGCCGTAAAAACGTCATAAGTACACGTCATTAGCATTCGAATTGCGACTCTACCATTACGTAATAAAGTGTAGATTTTTTTGCAATTAGTCAAGTTCTTGTGGTCTTTTGTAATTGCTGGGCGTCCCATGTGTTTGTCATTTCATTTCATAACTTTTGAATTAAGTACTCAAGGACTTTTGATTTAAATACTACTTTCTCCCATTGATTTAGAGTCTATATTTGAGTGATTAATAACTCGTATTCCGAATGTGTGAGTTCCCATTCACTTCTTAGATTCCCTTACCCTTGAGACCTAGGTGGGGTAATTAATTCAGTCAATAATGTACCTTACCACTCAAAGTTGAAGGTAGAATTTCGATTTATAGAAAATTGCACATAGAACTTTATGTAGTAATCGGTTCATTACTTTCATATTCCGTGAAAACATTGAGTAATAGTGTGTGGAGAGATTGCAGATTTTTTTATCGATATCGGTAAAAATATTGTTAAACAAATACAGTAAAGTACCTACTTAAATTAAAATTATGAATTGCATGCACTTTTTTCATTAGAGTTATTATTTCGTAAGAGAAAGTTGAACTTAAAGATTCGTTAATTTAGAAATCACATCATTACATAATGACATTCATAATCATTTGACTGCGTCGTGGGCCCAGTGGTTAATAAAACGACTCTGAAACAATTAAGTACTGTGTTTACTTTTCTATCTGTGCCTTAAACTAAGTATGGGTTCAGCTATATAGGAGTGAAAGCAAAATAACAAGCAAATGAAATGAATTCGTTGTTATTAATTATATCACTTACTTTTGATTTATAAGGAATACAGCACAGCACAGTTGCTGCAGTAACTGGGTGACAGTAGGCGCTCAACATATTATATGTTGAAGTTCAATTATCAGATAAAGTAATGATTCCTCTGGCCAAATTAATATTTAGATTTTATCATTACTTATCCAAGGCCTAATATACAACAAGTAACTTAAATAACGCACATCTTGAAAATAATGTGTTCAGGGGGCTTAGACAAAGTAACAATTTAAAAACGATAACGAAGTTCGTTAAGACTAAAATGTATGGGATTGACATAGGCCGCGTTAAGTCACGTGGTCAATCGACATCGTTATCGCAATTTGGTAGACAATGTTATATTTCATAACGAAACTATAAAGTAACGAATCGTTATCGTGTTTATTCCATATAAATGCGTAGACAAGCAGACCTTTCAGTGTTCGCCAACGCCTCGATCGTGATCGCCAAAAAAGATAACGAAACGAATGCTAAAACGTTGTAGTTATTGAAACAATATGGCCGAATTTCATTCGGCAGCAGATTTTTGACATCGATTGATCCTGTTATTATTTATTTTGTGTTAGAGGCAATACACTAATACAGATCAAATAGATTAAAATATGCATTCTCTGCGTTTATTGTGGGCTGCACACAATGAGACCGCCTGGGAGAGGCGCCAAAAACGGTTAAAACAGCGACGGTTCAATATAGGTACTTCATTGTTAAGATCGCGTCATTGTTTACATTACATACTCATGAATGAAACTTAGATTTACTTACGTTTCCATATACTCGAGCAGCGTTGCGAATTGTTCAGAACTTGCTCGCACTCTTGATTCCATGTTTTATCATTTAAATAGATAAGAAATAGAGAGAGATCCATCATCGTTTGAACACCAGTCACTTATAAAAATGAGTCTATTTTGATTATCATTAAGTTTTGGAAACGATCTAAAAGTAATAACACTCTATTCACTTACGACTGTAAAATTATCGTTTATATTTAACTTAAAAACAATTAAACGCAACACTCACTTTCTTATTAATAAAATTTTGAAACATCAATATCTCGCGGGTTTGATCCGAGGCCTTAGTACGAGTTTGTTTTACGTTTAAAGTAATCGTAACGAGTTCGCGTTCGGCGCTCTGATTGGTTGCCTTATTGGCGCCGGCCAATCAGAGTGCCGAACGCGAACTCGTTACGAATACTTTAAACGTAAATGAAACTCATACTAAGGCCTCCGAACTTTTTGACTGTCACTGACAGCTAGATTTTCGATACCATAACCAATATTTTTGTTTTTTGCCGAATAAAGAATTCGACACAACGATCACGACCACAGTGTTACATTGGCTAGGAAATGTTTATCGTTATCTCAGAGACGATGGCGAATTTACTTTTCGTTTCGCTATTAAGCGATGTTACTTTGTCTAAGGACCCAGAATCGTTAACTGAATCGATTTATATAATTTTTAGTATAGGTAATTTTTTATGCCAAAAATAATTAAAACTACGGAAATTATTGTCATATTAACCCTGTATTGTTAAAACAAATCGAAATGGACCGTAAGTCAAAGCAATAAGACTTTTAAAATCGCAGTTTTATTTGTTTTCAAACAAATTCTATCATTCAATACAAAATAAAGAAAAATAAACCTTATGACAAGACCAGTAAGGATGCATATACATGTTAAATAAAAAATGTTGTGTATGTATTATGATTATAACATAATATTCTAATTGGGGTGTTTGAGGGTGTGCGTTAATTACGTTACATGTTGTAACTTGTAAGTATATTTAGGTGATGAATAACCTGCATGGTTCAGCGAGCTGTCACTGTCACTTCTAGCGGGCTTTGTATTTGTGGAGGACAGGAAGGATGTCAACTGCAGCCGCATCATGAACAATAATATTGATACAGGAGCTAGGCGACACAGTACCAACCACCTAGTTGGACCAAGGCCAGGAGAAAGGATTTATAAAATGAACGTAATGAACTTGGGTTACCCAAGTTAATTTTGCTGGCTATTTATCGACATTAGTGGTTTCCTTCACTATTCTAAAAGTTTTCCTATACCTAGCGGAAGAAAGTCCATATTTTTGCATAGCATTTAATGTACCTACACAAAATATTTTTATATAATAATATTAACATTAGCTCAAGACGCTAACTAATAATTATTTACGTGTGTCGCCTGGACAGTCAACCTCGCTACATCCTTGTTGACTGGACATCTACACTACATGAGCTGCTGTTTACATGTGAACATTAGCTCATGACGATACCTAAGTACGTGTGTCGCCTGGACAGTCAACCTCGCTACATCCTTGTTGACTGGACATCTACACTACATGAGCTGCTGTTTACATGTGAACATTAGCTCATGACGATACCTAAGTACGTGTGTCGCCTGGACAGTCAACCTCGCTACATCCTTGTTGACTGGACATCTACACTACATGAGCTGCTGTTTACATGTGAACATTAGCTCATGACGATACCTAAGTACGTGTGTCGCCTGGACAGTCAACCTCGCTACATCCTTGTTGACTGGACATCTACACTACATGAGCTGCTGTTTACATGTGAACATTAGCTCATGACGATACCTAAGTACGTGTGTCGCCTGGACAGTCAACCTCGCTACATCCTTGTTGACTGGACATCTACACTACATGAGCTGCTGTTTACATGTGAACATTAGCTCATGACGATACCTAAGTACGTGTGTCGCCTGGACAGTCAACCTCGCTACATCCTTGTTGACTGGACATCTACACTACATGAGCTGCTGTTTACATGTGAACATTAGCTCATGACGATACCTAAGTACGTGTGTCGCCTGGACAGTCAACCTCGCTACATCCTTGTTGACTGGACATCTACACTACATGAGCTGCTGTTTACATGTGAACATTAGCTCATGACGATACTAAAGACAGTCAACCTCGCTACATCCTTGTTAACTTTGTTTTTGCTGATTGTACAATGACGACAATTTGTTTATCAACGCCATCTATAGTTCTGATCTTGAACTACCACGACGAACTTTATTGATCATCATTGGTGAATGGTGACAGTCATTTGTCACTATGTGTTGTAACTTGCTCAATAGATGTCGTTACGTGCACGGACATATTTTTTGTATTTCTTTTTGTTGATCAAGCCAGTTTTTTTTGCAAGCTTACTAGGTACGTGTTAACATTAATTATTAACACTTTATTTATAGAAGTATTGCGATATCGGCAACAACAAAGCTTATGGTTGTCACGGGTTGTACTAATCGTAAGCGGACACCATTAGCAATACTAGAAGAAGAATGACGATTCGGAGTCGCGGAGAACCTAATGGGTAACCGGGGCTCCGGCTCGACGTGCAGGAGAAGGAACGGGGTGGTTTTTAGTCAGAAAGAGTCTGATACTCCCTCCCACCTCACCCAAGCGGGAGCAGTCATTCGATGACTCTGCCCCCTTAAAAAAAAATACTAGAAGAATCACGAGTGAGTTGCTAACCATGTAGGAAACTTTAAAACCATCAATTTAAAGGCTTTTTTAAAATGTCATGAAAATTATGACGCACTTATCAAAAATGTAATAATGTTTTGGCATCCGGAACTCTCACTTACCAGACACCAGATAAACATAGCCTTGTGAAAATGTTTGTGAGAGCCAAGCTTCGGAATGAGTTGATTGGCTTGACCGGACACACCACAGCCACACAGATATAACCAGCGTGAAACAAGGCTTGTGTAGTGTTTATAAGGAGCCCAATCTTCTCTCCCATCTCCAAATCCCCTTATCCGCAAATTTCTAACTGCCAAGAGGCTAGTGCGCTTGTATATCCTTACTAATATTATAAATCGGAAAGTCAGTTTTTTTGTTTGTTCCGCTTTCACGTCGTAACTACTAAACCGATTGCTTTGAATTTTTGCAGACATAAAGTTAAAGTCTGGATTAAATAATAGGATAGTTTTTATCCCGGAAAAATTTGATATTCTCGAGGAAAAACGAAATCATTGGTATAGATGGCGCTGTGTGTATATGTCACATAGGCTACTTTTTATCCTTTTGTAACGCGAGCGAAACCGCGGGTAAAAGCTAGTATTGCAATAAACAATTTTACCACGAGGTGATCCGTCTGATCATTAGAAAAAGTAAATA